CCCCCACAAAACAACAAAGCAACAAAACTCACTCACCTTAAACGGCCACAACACCCACCTCACATACGGCAAATTCCACAACAACGCAATAACAACCACATACGCGCCAATCACCCCCAGCGTAACCGCCTGCGTATGATTAACGCTCAGCCCCCTTTTTGCGAAATGATGTGCTGTGTTGAAATCCGAGGCTGATGTTGAGAAAGAGGAAGAAGAAGAAGAAGAAGAAGAATATGAGAACAGCGCAGCAGCAGCTCTACGCGCGAGCGCCACATCGAGAGATGGCGGTGGTGCTGGCGGCATAACTCTCTCTCTCTTTCTCTCTCTCTTTTTCTCTTTTCTCGTTGATATCAGTCTTGATTTTCGATAATTAACGTTGATATCGTCGTTTGTGTTTCAGCGTCCTGGATATGCGGGTACGTTGTCCATGTACGTATATGTGTATGTGTGTGTGCGCGTCTGTTTGCGTATATTCGCGCCTGCGTGTATGCGTGTATGCGAGCCGGGGGAGCTTCTTCTTCTTTTTTTTCTTTTCTGCACAGCCACGTACAGTACGTAAGTACGTATGTTAAATGGCACTTTTGCGACGAAAAAAAAAAGACCAAAATCAAAGATAAAGTCGAAAAGTCGAAAAGCCGGACAAGTGGTAAGAGAAAAGGAAGGAAGGAAGAGCACGAGTAAACCAAGAGTGTAGATAAAAACAAAATACACAAAGTGGTGTGTGTGTGTGTGTGTGTTGTGCGTTGTTTGTAGGATTTGCTTGTTTGCGTGTGTGTGTTGTGAGTTGGGGGGGGGGATGGCCGTCCTTGTTATCCCCCCCCCCAGTCCCCCAGTCCCCCAGTAACGGGCACAGGCAGGCTCAGCAGCTGACGCGTTTTTGGCGAAGAAGCGCCACGCTAAAATTAGCAGGGGTGTGCGTGGCTGTGTTGGGTCATGGGCGTTTTGCGTATGCTCGTGTGTGTTTCGAGCGGTGCATTTAAAACTCTATACATTTGCGATTGCTGGAGGATGACTTCATGCATGGTAGATGGCTATTTGATACAATATTGGTTGGTTGGTTGGTGTAGTATGTACAGAATGGTAGATGGTAGCTAATAGTACTTAAGAGGTACGAGGCGATATACTCGCAGCATGAATAACACCATAAAGCACATCAAAACCCGTTTTACCGGTGTCAAGTTACATAGCAAAGGCTGCGCTTAGTTGATGCGCTCCTGGTGCATCGACATGCTCCTCTCAGGCGAAGAGTCATGCTTGTCGCCGAGCTTCTCCTCGTAGCCTCTTGGCCCACCACCGTTGGCAGCAACAGCGCTGTGACGGCGCTCCCAGTACGAGTCGTCGCGCTCGTCACGGGTAATGTATCCAGCAGGGACCCACTTCTTGCTAGTCCTGGCTGAGAGGTTGTGGTCCGAGTACATGATGTCGACATTCTCGAGAGAAAGCGACTTGGTCTCGAAGAGGAAGAAGTACACAATGCCTGCTGCGACAAAGTTGCAGCCGAAGAAGACGAAACCAAATGCGTAGCCAATACCGTCATCGGCATATGGTGTGAGGAAACCGATCAGGAAGTTTCCTGAAGAGCGTCGTTAGTAATGAAATAAACCACGACAAGATGTGACTTACCAAGCCAGTTGAAAGCAGTGGCCAAAGATGCCTGCTTGGCACGTGTGCGCAGAGGAAATGTTTCGCCAATAACGACCCAGATGAAGGGACCCCAGGTGGCAGCGAAACTGGCAATAAACATACAAGCAGCGACAATCATGACAATACCCGCAACCTCATTCTCCGTGGGAGGCAGAACAACACCGATGATGGCGAAAATAAGAAGCCAGGTAGCTTGCCAGAGACCACCGAGAACGAGCGGAACTCGGCGTCCCAGGCGTTCAATAAGCCAGAGACCAGGGAAAGTCATGGCTACGTTGACAGCACCAAGGATAAGCTGAGTCTGCAGGGGATCTTCAATACCGGCGGACCTGAAAATGGTTGCACCGTACTGACCTAGTTAGCCACACTACACGACAGCTGGCGTGTGGAAACTTACGTAGAAAAAGTAGTTGACGCCCGTCCATTGCTGGAAAAACTGCAGGCCGCAGCCGAGCAGAGTCCTGTACAGGACACGTGGGATGCCGGATGACGAGCTGGCAAAACATTCCATCCAGGTACCCTGACCAGCACTCTTCTGCTCATTGATAGAATCCTCCATCTCCTTAAAGTCCTCGTTGACCAAAGTGTGGTTCGGGTCGTGCTTGAGACCACGGAGACGCGCCATGGCGATACGGGCGTCTTCCCAGCGTCCCCTACCAGCAAGCCACCTAGGCGACTCTGGCGTGAATAGGACTCCAAAGCCGAGGGGAAGAGAGAAAGCGATACCAAGGCCAATTACAATTCTCCAGGCGGCAGAGGAATCCTCGCCTGGGTTGTCACGAACACCGTAGTTGATAATGTTGGAGACTTGAACACGTCAGTACCATCCATACGCTTTAGAAGGCCACTTACTCAGAATGCCAATCGTAATCATGAGTTGGTATGATGCGACGACAGCACCGCGGATCTCACGAGGGCAGACTTCGGACTGGTACATTGGCACACCAATCGACAGAATACCGACACCCACACCAGCAACAATACGGCCCATGGTCATGTGGACCCAGGTGTTCATGGCTGTAATCTGGATGATGTTTCCGACGACGAAAATCATGACACCGATGGTGAGGTTTTTGCGACGTCCAAAAAAGTCGGCAGTGTATGCACCAGCGAGCGCACCAACCAGTGTACCGATAGACATGAGGGAGACGAGCAGAGAAGAGATGGTAGGATTAAACGCCTTCTCGCCATTGCCTTGGTCTTGTCCAAAGCGGTCAATAAAGTCTCTAAACAAGAGCATGCCCGAGATTTGGCCCTATACTCCATCAGCACATTCAGAACACAGCTAGAAGCACGCTGAAGCATACTGTGTCGTAACCAAAGAGGAAACCACCAATCGATGTAATGACACCGAGCATGATGGCTTCGGTGCCGACGGCGGCACCGCGAATCTTGACAGACCTGCCATGTGTTAGCATGAAAAAGCACGTATATTTTGCGCAGCTCCTAAACCCACACTTGGCCCAAGCCCATGGTGACGGAAATCAATTGAGCTCAGCTGAAAAGCTGGAGGAGTTTGAAATTGCTTGTTCAATGCATCCATCTCCAAGGACCTTTAAGTATGGCCGGTTATCCGTTGCCGCCTTTGGAGCATGTGGTAATGCCCAGCCTTGCGCCCAGACTTGTGCCGAGCCTTTGACTCCGGGGCCCCTACGTCATCAAAGCCACGCCGTCACAGACGCTTGAGCGTGAACGGCCTTACCCTCTTGGCTGAACCTCCGACATGGCCAAACAAATGTCACCTGTAGTCAAGAAATTGCGGTAGTGGGCTTGTGTACGCAACATTGCTACTGGGGGGCCAACAGCCAGCATGTGGGGAAGTTGGTCGTGATTTGACGGCCAAGACGAGCCCGCCGACGACCCCGGAGAGACCCAATAATTGCTGTTGCTTTGCCATGTCCGATGAGCTGGATCGAGCGCCGGTATGAGAATCTGCACTCCAGCTTGGTAGACGCGTGCCCTGCAAGCGCCTCTGCTGCACACTCCGCATTCGTAGCGGGTGGCACCGCGGTCATGCTCCAAGTCTGCTGTGCCGCACACCCGCTTCCCAGAAACATGGCTATTGTCGTGTGACTTGCAGCGCGACGGATCGAGTCGCTGTGGATAGCCAGGGGCCGGGAAGACATCGGTAAAGATACTCGACACTACAATAGAGGCTCTCGGCAGTGGGGATGACGCGGGCGTCCTGAACTCCATGCCGGTCTGTGCTGTCTCAACACCTCTGGTTTTTCCCCCGACTTTCCCTCCGCCTTCAACAGCTGCCGCTCGATCCGAGCTGACCTCTGCAGAGTCGCTTATTGGGCCCTCCAATCTCCGACCGTGTGCAGTTGTGATCCAGTCGCGCAAGATTGCGACCCATTGCGCAGGTGACAAAGACCCGGTTTCGGTCTCAGATCGGCGGAGCCGGTCCACATGAGGCTCAAGGAAGCCACTAAGAAAGTTCCATTGGCGTGGTATGGCCCCGCCTCGCACGAGAAGCGGACGACAATAACTCGGCAGTTCCACAATCGTGGAGAATGCGTGAATAAATCCCAACAGCCATGGGGGTGGGGTGTTGAGGAGAAGAAAGGGGTTGCGGAGGTGCGGTGGTGTGGTGTTGTGGGGACCTGGAGATGGCTTGCCTCACTTGCAAGTTGTTGCAGAGCCGATCGAGTTTCCATGTCTCCGCGAGATGAGTACAGGCCGTCTTATATCTGCTGCGATGGAATTATGGATGCTGTGAGTTATTCATTGCCGATTCCTTTCCAAGCTGCAACTCGCAGTTTGCCGCTCGTTGTGGTTGGTGCACCTGAAGGATCGAGCATGTGCAGCTCGAGTACGTGGTACACCGCAAATAAGTGGACGTGATCCTGGAATTATACCATCTTGTAGTCGTGCAGTCGTTGCATGTCAAGTAACATGTCGTCGTTGTCGTCGTTGCGCGCGGTCGGCGCGCTTGAGCGTATCCAGCCAACCCACGTGGGGTTCATACCGGCAGCTTAGCCGCAACCAGGAACGGCAAGCTGACGTCACTTCCTACACGCCTCATTTGCGAACACCATGCAGACAGAAGCAGGAATCAACAGCCCGGTACTAACCTATTTTGAAATACCCGAGCAAATATTGTGCCAGGATTACGGCTTGACGGTTTGAGACACCGACACTGTCATCGAGTGGGACTTCGTGTAACTGGTCCTAGTTCACAATCAGGAAAGCATTGAGGATATGAAAAGGCTGGCAACAAAAGACACCTAGCGCAGGAAGAACAGGCTAACCAGGAAATGGAAGATGATAATATGAAAGCTTAAAGAACGGGGACATGATGCATCAAAGCTTGGTATATGTGCGCACGCGGAACGGGACGGTATAATTTCGGATACATGGCTGGGATTCATGGTCGGGCTTAAGGGTCGGCAGAACATGGTACTGCCGCCAGTAATGTGATTACACGGTCGTTTTCTTCTCATTCAAAGCAGGTCCTGCATGCTCGTTAGATACGACATTGCAATACCGTCAAACTGACCCAGGTCAACTCACCGTACCGTTCCATGTAGCGTTATCGAACCAGTTCAAAAAGTCTTCTGCCTCGGTTGGAATTGGCTCCAGACCCTCAATCATGGGCATGTCGAAGAAACCCTGTCCAGCACCCGCTGTCAAAGTCGTTGCGTCTTCTCCTCTTTGTGAGCCATTGTTGGGAGGTTCGTAGTTGAGCACCTCGTCCAACACCAGGGCGAGCATCTTGTTGAGCTCGCTGCAGAGTTTGTGGTTTCCGTCGCCGGGGAGAACAATCCACTCGAGACACGATGTCAAAATGGACAGATTCCGGATGACGTCTGCCCGGGAGATTGTACTCGGCAATGGGACGCCTTCGATGGTACATCGGCGGAGCTCCAAGGCTAGGACACCAGCAGCTGGCAAACAGGAAAAGAGAATGACGGTAGGGAAGTGCCGGCGTATCTCGTAGGCGCGGTTGTTCGGCTTGGTCGAGACGATACATGTTACGATGAGGCGTAATGACACTTCTAGCAATGCAGGAAGTGCCTGTTGCGTTATACCGTGGAGAAGGCGCTGTATCTGGAAATGTAGGTGCAGATAATCTAGATAGCACGTGATCAAACGTATAGTTAGTGCGGGTCCTCGGCCACCCCAGGCGGCTTCTTCGGTGTATGTTTCATATCGAAGATATGCCGGTAGTGCTTGCCACCACTCGGTGCATTCAGCCGAGATTGTTCTTTGCTGTCAGATTTCGTACAAGGATGGTCATAAGGGGAACTCACTCTATGTTCCTCACCACGTCACTGTCCTTCTCTCCAGCAAGGCTTTGCTCTAGCAGCCTTTCTTTGAAGACGGCAAGTTGGCAACACAGCCTGATGAAGGTGGCGGGGTGGAGTGAACCTTCGGTGTTCCATCCCGCACTGTCAAGCTTCGAAAGTTCGGCTTGAAGTATTGCTCCATCTTCTGAGGCGACAGCCTGGTCGCTGATATCTAACAACATCTTGCGGTCGCTATACCTCCAAGCCATGACGGGGGGTCGGCCGTAAAATACTGCCAGTGTTTTGTCGGAGCGGTACACTGTCGCATACAATTTTCTTCTGAATTCCCGCATGAAGAAGGGTTCGCAGTTTTCTCCCTCTGAGTTGGAGCCTTCGCAATGTATGCCTGCAGCGTACAGGGCGGACACGCAATCGCCCATGCGTCGCCATGTCCCATGATCTGCTCAACAGTCAGTACCTGGATCTCGTCGAGATTTGGTGCATGGACCTACAGTTGTCTCCGTAAAAATTACTCACTACTAGCATGTTAAAGTAGATGAGACACACCATGACTGCGTTAGTTAGCTACAGATTCCGCGATTGGAAAGACTTTGCCTACTCTCGTTGATTGCACCGTGCGTTTGGCAAATATTGATGCAAGTGTTAGTAGCATGCATAACATCCTCAATAAATTCATCCTTGTTGATCTGTTTACCTCCTTCAAGTGTAAAGATGGGGTCAGTGGGCGGCGTAAACTGGGCCTGTGTGCCAGCGAGTATCAATACAAGGCCAAGTGTTTCCCACCTCAAGTTCTTTCCCGTGAACAATGTCGGAAACTCACTTGGCCGCATGCCTGCGGGCACTTTCATGGGCCGTGCGGAATTTCTCGTAATCTCGGCATACAGCGCATACTTATCACTACCAGCAGAATGAAGCTGTTCAATATCTTTGCGGAGCTGCGGAATTGCAGAGATAATCAACGGTCCAACAATGGGGGCAGCCTTTTGTGCTTCAAAAAACATATTCAGAGAGTCTTCAAAAAAGGAAAAAGGCGACAGCGACGACACTATTAGGTCTCCCAGAGCAAATTGACAGTGGCGGTGTGCCATGCTTCTGCCTGATGTGGGAGGAGTGGCACTGTGTCGCTCCGAGGGCTGTTCGTGCACACTGTCTGGCAAAGGATGTTCTTGCGTGAATACGGCGGCATAGCTTGTCGACCCCAGGAAAAAGTTCCTCGCCGGATCAGGTCCGCTTTGGGTTGTCCTTGTGGCGGACTCTGGTGGTGTCGGCCATGTGTTACTCACTGAAGCGGGGTCCGCATCAAGTCTGAGAGTAGGAGGGCTGAGTGTGAGAGACGTCAACCTCCCATGGCTGCTGAGGCGGTTTTTGTTTGCAGACTGGGCGTCTAGTCTTCGCCGGCGTGGCTCTGGTTTTTTCCGGGGTGTGCCAGCAGGCTTAGTCATGGGGTTGGGGTGGTAGAAGCACTTGTGGTAGTTAGTTTTGTGGGTCACATCGGTCTTCATGACCAGATGATGCAGGCATTGATGACTGAACCCTCATCGATGCTTGCACCACCTGGCGTTGGCCGACTTACTTGCTCTGTGATTCCGCGTGTATGGCACTTCTGGCATGTCGGCGTTGCGTGGTCGCACTTGATCTTGGATATGCGACATGGTTCGCACGACCTGCAGACCATTAGCCATCTCACCTGAGGACGCTCTTGGGTCGATGGCGTAGCCGGGTGCCCGACTAATGGCGTGCTGAGAATATCCGGTGTCTCTGGAGGAGCGCCCAGGCTCCTGGCAATTTGCAGGCCCAAGACCCGGTCACAGGCATTGTGTGATGCTAGCGTGGTACTCGGCTACCACCGTACATGGACGGTCGGAATGGCCACGTACCTCGGCTTTCCATTCCTCCGCAGCATGATGGGCACTTCTGTTCCGTCCGGGTGGTGTATGAGTGGCAAAGATGTGTTTGCTGGACAAGCTGGTGCAGCGAGGAGCCGGGCATACTGCGATGGCTCGTATCGCTACTCCGGGCGCGAAAGGCATGTAGCAGCTCCGGAGCGTGCTGGCGAATAGTCCGACTGCCGGCACTAAGCCCAGACAGGCGCACGATCGCCACGCCCGCTGCCAAATGGAGTCGATCAACGAAGGCGGAATGTCCGGAATAATGAGCGGAGGATCCATGGCAGCGGACTGGATTGGGAAGTGTGCACGGGCAGCCCGGTAGAGGAAGACATGCGAATTCTTACACCTGCGCTACGATCAGATTGCCGCCTGCAGCACATACCTCATCCTACATGTACATAATACATCCAAACGCTATGGCCCATGGTGCTCTCCTCAGCTGCTGGCGAGCTCGCGGTTGTTTCCAGGCTTTATCAGACCGCCAGATGCTGGCCAGGCGGGGAGGCATGGCTCTCCAAGGCCGACTTTTCCCGTCATGGCATGTAGTAGCCGGTAAAGCTGAATCAGGCTGCGGACTGTCGACTGCCGTGGTGGTGTTGCTGGGTTTGACCCTGTATACCGTCTGGCGGTCACAGATTTCCGGCGGGCGCCCACCAAGGCGCACATCGGGAAGCATAGCCCGCAGTAGCTCGCAGCACCACCCAAGGGAACAGTGTCCAACGTCGACGGCCTGCTGTGCGCTCGCTCCTCACACGTCTCAGCCTCAGCCTCGACGGCGCCCTCGAGCGTCGTTGTTCGCGACGCCGCACCTCGCACGACAAGCCATGGCCGGCGCACGTGACGCCCAGCCCGCCCAATGCGGCCTAGGCCCGCGTGATTCCAAATCGGGCGGCTTCTCACACTCACCACCCTACCCTGGTCCCACAAGCACCGTTGACCAGCAAGCCCACGCACATCCACTGCGGTCTTATCACGGAAGCCTTTGTTTCCACGGTCTCGTGAACACATCCACGACACGCTGCCCCACTCGCTCTCCAGACAGACGGCCGTCGAGCCTGTCGAGGAAAAATGCTCCGCGCGCGATAGCCGCTTCACCTGCCTGGCTGGCCCAGCCCCCCCCCCCCAGCACATATGCGCTGGCCTGCTATACACCTACGCCCTTTCGATTCTGAAGATTCGCCTCCCATCGACGCAGGCTTCCGGACGAGAGCAATTGCTAGCACAATGCATTTGCTTGGTACGACAATTGGCTCTGGCCTGCGCACACCTGTATCCCTCGCCGCGGCATGAGCTGGCAGCCCCCATGGCACCGGTGAAGACAAAAGAGCCGCACTAGAGGGCAACTTGCTGTTGTTCTGCCAGCCATTGCCGTCTGCACGACCTGCCATTCGTTTCACCAACGCTGCTTTTGATTGAGGACTGGCTTAGCGAACAAGGCGCAGCTGTGCGCTGCATAATGGCATGCCGAC